TATGGCTCTTGAACAATGCTGGGTGGAGATTTTCCAAGCAATGCCTAATTGGCCGCTTCTAATTAAGAGAAACTTTGAGCTTTTTAGATACCAGAGCGGGGTAGTTTCAGGCTAGAGATGCTTTATAATAGTAAGAGCATTCGGAGAAATGGACTGTCTCCCTGGAAACCCGAGCAGGTTCCCCATCGTTGGAACCGGTGGGAGCTGGAACCAGTGCTCTTGAGTGGAGGAGGGACCCTCTACCTCGGGGAAAGCTGGCTAAGCCGTGTTAGAACTGGTGGGCATCCCAAAGCCCAGGCGCGCACTGGGAACCGGCTCCAGTTGGCACCACTTGATACCCTCAGGAAGGACTGGAGAGAACCAGAGTTACCCCCAGCCCATCCTGCGGCTGGGCCCTGCGCGGTGAGTGCAGGGCGGGGGCGCCGTTTTGCTCCATTCCTCTCCTGTCTGAGAGCTGGGGATCTGAAGTCCGATTTGTTTTTCCCAGCTCTCGATTGCTAACGGGAACAACAAAAGCAAATCCCTCAGGCTAGATTTTCGCCCGCATAACAAAATAAGAGACTCTAGATCTGGGCCTCTTAAGCCTTTCAGAAGTTTATCGCAGTTGCTCTGGGCCGGGGTGGGAACAATGCTAGGAAAAGTCACCGGCGCTCTTCCCTCCTCACCCCTTCCAGCGCGCAGGATGTGCGGGCAGGCGGGCCTCTGATCCCGGAACGCTTCCTGCCATCCCCTTGAGCGAACTTGAAAGGGCCGGGGAGGCGTGGAGAGCAGAGTTCAGGTCTGGTGCACGCGGCGGCAGTGCGGGAGAGGCGGTGCGCCCGCGGCGCTGGGCCGGGGCCTGAGGTCGCCCGGCTGCACAGGGCAGAGGGGGCGGCGGGAAGGCGTGCGTCCTGCGGGTGGGACTCCTCTTGGGACCCGGAGTCTCTCCAAGCCTCTAGGGAGGGCCGTGCAAGTCCTCTGGGGCCGAGGCCCGAGTCTAACTCGTGGGTTGGCTGCCGGGGGAACCCGGTTGACCCAAAGAGGCTTTTCCGCTCTCACCTGGGACTGCGCGAAAGGGAGCCTAGGGGACGCGGAGCTGCAACGGGACCCTCTTTGGACAAGTGCCGAGAAAGCCTCTCCTTTGGGCTCCCTTGAGGCCGGCGAGATCCTTGGTTCCAAAGGAAAGTTTCTCCTTACAGCGCGCGCGTTTCTGAGCGACTCGGGGAAAAAACGTGCGGGAGAAGCTGGAGCAGGAGGTGGGAGAGGCCAGAGTAAGGGTCTGGGGGAAGGTGGGAGGGAAATGCCAGTGCAGTATTTTTTTCGTAAAATCCGAGAGGAGTATTGTTGACACCACCTACCGCCCCAAAGCAGAACGGTGGCTTTCCCTGGTGCCCAGGGCTCGGAGAAGCCGCCGGCCGCTTGCTCAGGCGAGGGTGGGAAGCGGCGTGGGAAGCGCCCAGGCGCTGCTTCCTCCAGGCCACGCAGCTTGTGGCTCGAGAGGAGCCCCTGGGGACGGGGACCCCACTCCCAAGCTCCTGGGTTCCAGGACAGTCGGGGGAACTTCTCCGCGTGCTGCTGCGGCCTTAGCTTTCCAAGGCCGCACGGTCTCCTCTACTGTCTCAATCCCCTACGGATTCGGTTCCCCAAACGCTGACTTGGGTTATAGCCCCTGGGAGACAGCAGGACGCCCCAGTCTCGCACAGTGGCGTCGGTGTCGGCGTCTGTCTTTGAATTTTCCAAGAGGGTCCCCAGCCTCGGTCTCTTCAGTGTTGGATCCCCGAGGCACGCACGGCTTCCCTGTGAACGGTCGCCCCTGTGGACCCCTCGGGTGCGGAGTTAGAGCTGACTTCGTTGGGGAAAGGGGGAGGTAGGAAAGAACACTTAGTCAAGCACACTTTTTTTCCTGTCCCTAAAATGTGCCTCAAGACAACAGTCACAGCTTTAGGAGGGATGGGGTTACAAACTTCTGGAACCCTCAGCCTCTCCCAAGCCCCCAGGTTCCCCGAACCCCATCTCGGACCCCTCAGGGCTGGGACTCGGGCAGGCATCTCTTTATTTCTATTTCACGGAGCCCAGGGGCCTGCCTCTGCTGGAACATCTTTTCCCAGGAGCTCTCCACCTCCACCCCCCGACCCTCGAATCCCACAACTCTGGCTCACTCACTCCGATTTCTGCCCCAGCCCAGGGCTCCGTGTCTCCGGGAGAGCTGGCCCCACTCTGCGGGCCAGGGCTGGGCCCTCAGCCGAGGAGCGCTGCAAGTGACCCCCACCCCGAAGGCCGTGTCCAGAGGCCCCCATAATCCGTAAAGAAAACCTTTAGCAAGGAAATCGTCGGCAAGGCAGCCAATGTGGTGACAGAGTGGCCGGGTACTTTGGGGATGGAGTGGGGGCTCTTTCTCCCTTTCCTTTTCGGTAAACAAATCAGAGGAAACTTCTGCCCGGCCCTGGGCTTCCCCCATCCCCCCGCCCCGCCCCCCGCAAACGCCACTGATTAACTTAAAACAAACTTGACTTGGCGTTTGTGCGCCTGTGTGTAGCCGAAAGTTGAGCAAGGGGCGAGAGGCGACTGCGCCCCGGAGTTTCACGGAGGTGCCCGGAGGGTTCGGGCGGCGGCCGGGCTGCGCGGATCTGTGCCGTCCGACCCCGCCGCGCGCGCTCCGAGCCCTGACCCGCGTGGACCGAGTCTCTGGGAGGCACCAGACCAGGTATTATCTGGGGTCTCCTGGCCACGGCTCCTCCTGGGCAGTTCATCCGAACTTGAGCTGCGAAGACGCCTTCGAGGGGCTGTGTCCGGAGGAAGGCGGTTACCCGATCCCTGCAGGGAGCCGCGCGCAGCCGCGGCCTGATTTCTGTTTAACTTGAACAGGGCGAACTCAAGGTGTTTATATTTTGCAATGATGATCAGAAACATGTGAAGTTCATTAAGGAACTTCAATAGTTTGCGAGGAAACCAAACCCTCATGTGTATCTTTTTTTTTCTTTTCCTTTTGTTTTTGTTTGTTTGTTTTCCGGCCGGGCATCCTCCCCTTTTCCTTTTTATTTTTACAGATTTTCAAAAGTGTGGAGATGAAAGTACTCAGGAGCCCTATCAATACGGAACTGAATGTTTCGATTAATCTAATCTGAACGTTGGGAGCTGCAGGCTGGGGTTGCAGGGGGCCGCAGAGAAGCAGGTTTTGGGGCTTCCATTCCTCCATCAAGTGTTTGCAAATCTGTGTTGCTATCCCCAGGGCATCCTTAGAGCTGGAGCCAGCTCACCTCAAGAGTGGGAGGAGAACGCCTGTGTTCCTTTCTCTCCCTTAGGCAAAGGTGATGTTTTGGAACTTGAGCATGGAGGAGCTTTAAAGGGAATTCTAAGTTGGGTTCTTTATGCAATTCATGTTTCTATTCTGATTTGTTGCTCTATAGAGTTAGGAGGCTTGTGTTCGATGGGTCAGCTTAAAAGATTTTTAACAATAGAAACTGGAATTATTTTAAAATTAAAATAATAGAAAGTGCATGTTCATTGATGCCCAAAGATGTTTTACTTTCACTGTGTAAGAATAGCTCTCTTCCGTACACTTGGGTCAAACATTTTTATTTTATATTTTACCTGGTGATGTTTGCCCCCCAATGACCACAATACTTCTGATTGCAGGATTAAAACCTAATGAGTAAATTAACTGGACATGTGCCTGCATTTCTTGTTTCAGTGTCTCAGTTTAAAATGGTGAATTACTCCTATGATGAAGATCTGGAAGAGCTCTGCCCGGTGTGTGGAGACAAAGTGTCTGGGTACCATTATGGGCTCCTCACCTGTGAAAGCTGCAAGGTTTGCTTCTACGTTGCTACCCGCAAAATACAATGTCCAAAAGCAAAGTAAACTGTTGGGTTACTTCTTACAGCTAAATGTAGGCTGTCTTTTTTGGACTCAATTAAAAATGAGAGAGGGAGAGAGTTAGTCTCAGGGAGATGATTCTTAGAAATATGTGTCTGATTTAATTCCCAAGGCAAAGAAATTTATGCTGTTTAGAAAACTTTGCCAGTCTCATGGCTTTAAAATAGTTTATTGTGGTAAAGTGATGTAGCTGTAGAAAGACTTCTATTGCTAACAGTCCAAAATATTGATTTTGCTTGACTTATATATATTTAAAGCATCGTTGTTCTCAAGGGGGAGGATGACAAAGTATTTCCCAAATACATTTTAACTTCAGAGTCTTCTGTGCTGCACGTCTAAACATTTTTTATCCACGGACATAAAAGTCTAAATTCTCAACTGCGGGATTTCATCCTGATTTATTCCAAAAATAATTTTAAGATGTTTTGAAATTTATATCACAAAGAATAAGAAACCAGACCTTAAGTTTATAAAAATAGGTTTCATAAGTATATTACATGACCTGTTTAAATGCAAGAAATTGTAATGTGTCACATGTACTATATTGCCACTAACAATGTCAACTATACATTAAGGATTTATCTCAGGCCTTTTTTGTATATTCCTGGTAAACTTGATACTCCCTATTGTTTAACATTTTTAAAAGTAGAAAACTCAGTACAATTACTTAAACCACTGCCAGGAAAATCCCCTTTTTCTCTATAACAAAGTAAGATGGTTTCACTTTGTGGCCAGTAGGACAAATGTAAAGAAAACACCATCCAACTTGTTACTATGTTATAAAGCTACAGATTTTATATTTGATTAATTCTTTTGCATGAAATATAAGGAAGGCATACACTCTGCTAAATTTCAACTCTCTGCTATACATTATTTTTTCTTTCCCAATTAGTTGCACCTTTTTTTTTTTACACAGTTCCCCAACTTGAATGTATTCCAGTGGAATTACAAATATTTTCCCGTTTTATTCTTTAAATCCTTTTGCTTTTCACTATCTAATGTTGACATTTATTTTAAAAAATCTGAGGTTTTTGCTATTCCATTTTTCCACTGGTATTTTACAGTAGTTTGCCACTGAACTCGTATCGGGCTGCTTAAAAACAATGCAGCTCTCTAAGAGTGCTTCACCTGGAATAGGAAGGTTAATAGGAAAACTTTTTTTTTTCCAAAAAAATTACTGGTCAACATAGAAAGTGTTTTTCTCTGAATGTTGATATGAAATGCTGTGTAGCCAAATCTCCCCAAGATTTGATGTGATTCTTGAGAGACAGAACTCTGATGCCAGGAAAACCTCCAGCACGGCCTGGCGCTGCTCGAGAGGGCTGATCTTGTTAGAAGTGAAACACACCACAGAACCACAGAAGGTCTCAAATGGCGCAATGAAAAGATTTACTGGTGATTTCCTTAAAATGAAACAATAGAAGAGACGGGTGCTAGGTTTGTAACATGTCTCGCTGTTTTTCTCTTATAGGGCTTTTTTAAGCGAACCGTCCAAAACAATAAAAGGTACACGTGTATAGAAAACCAGAACTGCCAAATTGACAAAACACAGAGAAAACGTTGTCCTTACTGTCGATTTCAAAAATGTCTAAGTGTTGGAATGAAGCTAGAAGGTAAGTTTCTTCTAAAGACTACTGCCTGTTAAGTCTCCAAGGACACAGGATTTAAAACAACACTGTACTTATAACATGGTAACAGTATTTTTCTAGTCTTTTAACACTATTGACAGGAATGTAAGATCATTTTATGTTTTGTCAGCAGAATAGCCTGAGTTTCATTTAAACACTGGTGAAATCTACTAGGAAAAAATTGTTAATACCAGGCTTTCCCCTCCCCCACCTCTGTTTTGGTTTGAGGGGCAGATATATTTCTTAGGTTAGATGAAAGGACAGGTTAAATGAAAGCAGGACCAAAGTGATTCAACTGAGAACAAATACAAATAATTTGTGAAAATATTTTTAAAAATCCTTTAAGTCTCCAGAGCAGGACGCCCTGGTAACAGTGTGTTTTTAATCCTTTTACAAGAGTGCGCCTGTCATAATTGTAACTACTAGATTCATGACTCCAGAGCAAGAATTAAAGCTTTTAATTATAAAAAAGGAGTTTCTCATGTAGAGTATCAATTTTGATAGTGTGGAAAAGCACATTTCTTTAAGATGATGACTGAGTCTGCAAAATAAAAAAAATGTGAGAAGCCGGAAACGTGAAAAATAATGAACTATTAAATCGGTAGTGTTGGTTTGACAAGAATGGTTCCCCAAAAGTCACATTAAACTTTATGTTGAAAAAGTAGACCCTGCATTTACGACGTACAGAAAGTTAACAGGTGACCACTGTAAATAATTTGTCGTTCGTGGACTATCATGGTGTGTTGCTGTTTTTCAGCCTCTGACCTACTGACTTTCCAAAGATTAAATATATACTGCAAAGAAAGTAGTAGGAAGGGGTACGTATCACCAACGTGCACCAGATGCACAGTGCATGCTATTCGATGAATGAGGCACAAGCTAGTTGTCTGGGGCTTTTCTGTTTGTGTGGCACTCAGCCTTGAAAGGAACACTCAAAAAGTTTCAAATAAACCTGCTGCATTGCTGATAGACTGCTTCCCAGAGAAGTAGCCACTTTGGTTATCAAGAAGACTGTTAAGTCAGTGTTGCTTTTAAGACAAGACTGAGAAAGGAATTAATTGATGCTTATTAATTTATTACCAATCCCTGTATTATTTTCTAAACTGCAAAGCAGTGTGGTACATGCTTACTCTAGTAGGAGACTCAGAAGATAAGCATATGATGTCATTTGAGTCTTTTTTTTTTCCAACAGTACACTTTCTTAACTATAAGTCACTTGTGGTGGTGCATACTTAGACCTCCTTGACAGGGATATGAAACAATTGCTCATTCAATAAATTATCATCCAGATGAAAAACTCTATTGTCTTGTGCAGTATTCTGGATACCCTTCACAATAAATTTTTAATGTGATACTAATCCTAAGATAAAAAGTTCAAAAACTTCACCTCCAGTAATTTCAACATATCACAGGCTCTCAGGGGTCTCCGGCTCCTGTCTCATTGCCATTGGCCACTATGCTAACTAAATTACGAGACATGGCCCCACATGCCAGACCGTGTTGAGATGGTGGGCCGTTTTGACAGCTTCTGAAATGAATCTGCTTTAAATTCTGTCCAGTTCCACTAGAATTAAAAACAGTAACTGGTAGGTCTCAGATGTGTGCTCACAGAGTCCAGTTGAGGGTGATTTTCTAAGAGCGTGTGCCCAGCCCTTCTGCAGTGAGTGAGGGAGATGTTCACAGGCACAACAGAACCCAGAAACAGGTTATTTGACTCTGCTCTGTTCTCCCTTTTAGCAGTGTGAGTTTCCATACAGAGAATCACAACACAGCTGGCATAATACTTGATACTTTATCAGTACAAAACCTCCCCTGTGTGTATCAATAGTTAAGAAATCTCGTCAGTTCACCAAAGGGTTAATGTCCCTTTGTATCCAAAATATTTTTTTAATGACAAACACACTTGGAGGAAAGAATTCATAAATAAAGAGGACATGGCTTTTTTGGGGAATCTTTGTGGGTTATTGTAATGAAAACAACCACCCACCAACCACTTCTGATCAATTTTCAGCCTTTCTAAATACCTCGGGATGGGGAGGGTGTATAGCTCAGTGGTAGAGGGTGTGCTTCGCATGCACGAGGTCCTGGGTTCAGTCCCCGTATCTCCATTTAAAAATAAACAGACCTAATGACCTCCCCTCAAATAAATAAATAAAATTTAAAATAAATAAATACAACTAATTACCTAATTAATAATAAATGAACCTAATTACCTTCCCCTAAAACAAAAAAAAGCAAACTTCCACCCAAATAAAAGAAGTTTAAAAAAATTAAACAGAATAAAGATCTGGAGAATGCTAATGATCAACCTCTTACTTACCCCCTCAATTCCTGTTTCTGCCCCGACAGCGGTCAGGGCCGACCGAATGCGCGGCGGCAGGAATAAGTTTGGGCCCATGTACAAGAGGGACAGAGCCCTGAAGCAGCAGAAAAAGGCCCTCATCCGAGCCAACGGACTCAAGCTGGAAGCCATGTCCCAGGTGATCCAAGCTATGCCCTCGGAGCTGGGCATCTCGTCTGCGATCCAGAACATCCACTCGGCCTCCAAAGGCCTGCCTCTGAGCCACGCTGCCTTGCCTCCCACAGACTTCGACAGAAGCCCCTTCGTCACGTCGCCCATCAGCATGACCATGCCGCCGCACGGCAGCCTGCAGGGCTACCCGCCGTACGGCCACTTCCCCAGCCGGGCCATCAAGTCCGAGTACCCCGACCCCTACGGCAGCTCGCCCGAGTCCGTGCTGGGCTACTCCTACGTGGACGGCTACCAGACCAGCTCCCCGGCCAGCGTCCCGCACCTCATCCTGGAGCTGCTCAAGTGCGAGCCCGAGGAGCCCCAGGTCCAGGCCAAGATCGCAGCCTACCTGCAGCAGGAGCAGGCGGGCCGCGGCAGGCACGAGCGGCTCAGCACGTTCGGGCTCATGTGCAAGATGGCCGACCAGACGCTCTTCACCATCGTGGAGTGGGCCCGCAGCAGCGTCTTCTTCCGGGAGCTCAAGGTACGTGCGCCGCGGGCGCCGGGCGCC